AAGAAAATTTCTGAAAAGTCACTTGTTTAACTTGTTTTAATACTGAAATACCTATCGGAAACAAGTAAATTTTGGATACCAAAATACCAAATTCTTCCATGCCAAGGGCATAAGTAAGTATATACTCAATCACATTATTTTGCTGCATGACAAAATGGGACAGGAGCACAATGAGGATCAGTGCAAGGCTGATATCGTTGAGGGAGCTTTCCAGCTTAGGCTTGGCTCTACCAATCCAACGAGTACATTTTTTCACATGCACACCCTTCTTCAAAGATTTGATGAGATACACTGTCTTAAAGCACCATTTACCAAGTGGAAATTGATGAAGTTATAAAAAAACAGCCTACTAACAAGGCTCTAGGGGATGGTGGATTTAATGGGGATTATACCAAGGCATGTTGGGACATTATCGCGGTTTATTTATACTTTCATTGACGAGTTCTATCATTGCATAATCAATCTTTAGTGCATTAAATCCTATTTCACTACTCCAATTCCCAAGAAAGGTAATCCTCTAAGCACATGGTATTTCAAACCAATATCTCCGTTGAGATGTTCCATAAATAATATTACAAGCTCCTGGCTAACTAACTTCACAAGCTCATCCTATAATTGATCCACACTAATCAATTTGGATTTGTAAGATCAAGGTCCATACATGCTTGTCTTGCCTGGGGTTTTAAATTTCTATTTCAATGCCAACACACCAAGAAAGAGATATTGGTCCTCAAGTTAGATTGTGAAAAGGATTTTGATATGGCTGATCATTTACAATTCTAAAAATTCTAGTCACTAGGGGTTTTGTACAAAGATGGCTTAACTAGATCGAAATGATATTTAGGTCTAGGACCTCATCAGTATTGCTTAATTGCATTCCTGAAAAGATTTTCACTATTTGAGAGTGTTGATTTACTTCAATAAAGTAAGGGTTGTGGGGCTATCGTCTCACAGTATATGGTAAAAATTGATGGAATGGTTTCAAGACATTCAAGCTCGAGATGATATTGATTGGCTAGTGATGGGATATTTTAACTATGCCAGATATTTAGAAAATAGAAATAGAACTGGTGGAAATATTAATGATACGATGAAGGAACATGAGGCCATATGTACCCTTTGGTTAGTTGAAATCCTCTTATGGGCGGAAATTTCCATTGGAGCAATATGCATGATGCACCTCTACTTGAGAAACTTGTGTGTTGTTTTCCTCTGAATCATAGATGTTACCCTGACACAATGGCTCTTCCTTTGTAAAAATCAATCTCATATCATGTTCCTTGCATCATTCAGGTCGAAACAAATATCCATAATCATATTTTTCAGATTTGAATTTTTTGGCCGGGGCATAGTGGTTTTAAGAAGGCAGTTAAGAATGTGATTAAGAGGACAACGATTGCCAATGCGAAAGCAATCACAACTAAATTCAAAAGACTCGGAAAGGGGCTTAGAATTTGGTCCAAATATCAGTTAAACCTTTCAGACACTATTATATTAAGAATTCCAATGTAATAATCATGTTCGTTGACATGCTGAAAGAGTTGAGAGACCTACTAACTGTGGAATAAAATGGAAGATTTTAAAAAATCATTTGATTAACTTGTTGTCATACTGAAATACCTATTAGAAGCAAGTAAAATTTGAATATGAAAATACCAAATTCTTCCATGCCACGGCCACAATTAAGTACACACCTATTCACATCGTTTTGTTGCAAGATGAGATGGGACAAAGCACAATGAGGATCAATCCAAGTTTACTATCCTTGGTAGATCTTTCAAACTTATCAATCCAACGAGTAAAAAAAATCACTTGCAAAACCTTCTTCAGAGATCTAATGAACTACATTGTCTTCAAACACCATTTATCAAAAAGGAATTGATGAAGTTGTAAAAAAAACCTGCCTAGTGACAAGGCTATATGGTCTGGTGGATTTAATTGGCATTTTGTCAAGGCCTGCTGGGACATTATCTCAACTGATTTATATTCTTGTCGTCGGTTTCTGTCATTGCATAATCAAATATTTAGTGCATTAGTTCCTCTTTCACCATTCTGATTCCCAAGAAAGGTAATCCTGGAAACCCAGGAGATCTCAGACCAATATCTCCATTGAGATGTTCCATAAAAATATTACAGGATCCTCGCTAACAAACTTTCCAAGCTCATCCTAAAATTGGTCCACACTAATCAATTTAGATTTTTAAGATTAAGGTCTATGCAAGATTTTCTTGCCTGGGCTTTAAATTTTCTATTTCAATGTTAGCAGACCAAGAGAGAGATATCGGTCCTCAAGTTAGACTTTGAAAAGTCTTTTGATATGATTGATCATGATACAGTTCTAGAAATTCTAGCAACTAGGGGTTTTCGAAAGAGGTGTCTTAACTAGATCAAAATGATATCTAGATCTAGGACCTCATCAATCTTGCTTAATTGCATTCCTGAAGCAATTTCAATTTATGAGAGGGGTTAGGAAAGGAGACCCTCTCTTCCCTCTCATTTGTGTTGTGGTCACAGATTTACTTTAGTCCATTCTTAGTAAATGTATGCACAATCAATTAATTCATACTCCTATGGAAACCAACTCTTGCCCTGATTTTCAAGGGATACAATATACCGGTGACACTCTTTGGGTACTTCTAGCCGAAGAGGCTCGGTTATAAAAAAATAAAAAATCTGCTCACTTATTATTTTGATCTAACTGGTTTGAAGATCATTTAGAATGAGTATGTCATGGTGCCTTAAAATGCCCATGCTGACATATTGCAACATTTGGTCAACATTATTTCTTGAATGCTAATAAGGTTCATTTTCCATTTACCTATATATGGCATCCTTTAAACACAAGCAGGACAAGAGTGGGGGATTTCACTCCAATATGTCAAAGAATTGAAAGAAGGCTTGGTGGCTCCTCAACAATGCTATCATATGATGGAAGGCTCCAGTTGATCAAATTTATCTTTTCCCCACTCCACATTTTTTTCCATGTGCTCACTTGCTCTGCCAGCTTCGACTACTAATCAAGTGAACAAATATTTGAGGCACCGGCTTTGGAGGAAATTTGGACAAGACAAAGAACCTGCTCACATTGCTTGGGAAAAGCATGCAAACTGCGGTTCAAGGAATTCTTGGTATTTTAAATGTGAAAACCCATAACAAAACTTTGCTTTTTAAAAACTCCATAAATTCTTCAATAGAACTGAGCTACCTTGTATCAAACTTATTTGGGAGTCATATTTCAAAATCAATCCTCCCCTTGAAAGAATGGAGGGCTCTCACTGGTGGAAATCTCATTTGAAGTTGATCCATCTATTAAAAAACCCTGCAATATGCAAAGTTGGCCAAGGAAACACTACTATATTATGGCATAATAAATGGCAAGAACAATCTCTAGTTGAGAAATTCTCAGAGCTTCATTCACAAGCAATCGATGACAAGGCTATAGTTGCGTCTATGATTAATTCTGAGAACTTGGTTGATCACTTCCACGAACTATGATCTACCGGAGCGTTTGCACAGTTCGATGAAATCCAAATATGGTTATATCAGAGTAACACTCCACAAGTTCTTAACAAATCGAGCTACCCTTGAAATGCTAAGGAAACAAGAATCATGGCTTATGGGGAAACAAGAATCTCACTTTCTCATCAAATGGTTGTAGAAGAGAGCTGGTAGACTAAGACATAAAATCTTCTTTTGGCTCTGACAACATGATGAAGTCAACACTAGAAACCTTCTCAAAACAAAGTCTTTTCACATGCCTAGTTGTGCTTGTGTTCTCCATAATTAACAAGTGGAAGAGAATGTGACTGCATGTGTACTCAAGACTATTGGCAATTCATTCTTCCAAATAAACACAGGGTAATTTCACTCTTTGATGAAATCAGTTTAGCAACTCTAATTCTTCCTAAGCAAATAGCATGGACATCATCATTATGGGACGTCGGAACATATGGATGCACGAAAATGGAAAAATGTTCAAAAATGAATGGTTTTGATGATTCCGAGGGCAGGAATTGGCTAGATCTCTATTTTCCTTTCCCTATTGTTTGTGTTTTTGTATATACATTTCTTTTGCTTTACATATACATATATGATTATCATTCTACGGTTCTTTCGGAAGAAGCGTCATGCTCAAAACAGCATGCTTGCGTATTGCACCTGCTCCTACACGCACGGTGTGTTGTGTTATTCGGGAAAGAACCCAACAACTGTTGGCTTTTCTTCTTTTATCTTTAAAGAAAAAAGAAAGAAACATTCGACTCTGTGCATGTAGTGACATGATCATATGTGTCCCACAGCCGCGCCAAATGCAGAAAACGTCAACAATCACAGAAGGAAACATCAACAATCAGCTAGCGAATCACTTCCCTGTTCCCTGCAAGAAGAACTTGCCCTTTTTACGATAAAAAATGATTGATCGCACTAGCACGTCAGCAGCACCTGAACCTGAGAGAGCAAGACTCGCATACATCGGACTACAGGTTCATGACATCTGCATTCTGCAAAGGCAAAGCGTAACACCAGGCAATCTTCATATAACATTGTAAAACACGGGTCAGTCAGTTAGTTCTGCAGATAAATATTTCACACACAGTACAAGCTGGTGATAAGAGTACTTTTTAACACATAATAATTCAGGCTGCTGGTGCTGCTTGGCACAGTCTGGCAAAGAACAACCCTGATAGAGGCCACAAGATTCAGCAAACACGCCACACTTCTTGGCACAAACGACATGAGACCAGATGGTGTTCTTGTAACTAGATAAAGAGAGATGAAATTATGTGGCTAGCAGATGGTACAGGGCGGGAGCTTATCATAACTAGTTACTAATTATACTCCTAGAGATCTCACTTTGATAAACGATAGCCAATAAATTACTGCCTAGACATATAGTTCCTGCTTGCATTCAATATAAGCTAAGTTGTTGCAATGTAACCCTAACACATACCAATAGAAACTCTTTGAATCACCAATGCCATGACCTGTTATTCAGTCTCTCATTACTGGCTCTCTTCTTCATTGTCATCGTCCTCTTCCTCCTCATCACCGCTCTGCTCACCGTCGCTGGCAGCTGCAGAGTCGGCCATATTGTTCTCATGGTACTGATAATGCGGGCGAACGGCAGGGCGGTGATGGTGTCTGCTACCGTCGCTGGCACGGTACCGGTCATGGTGATTGCTGCTCGTCCGGGCATCAGGAAACGGTGCCATTCTTCTCGATGTGGAATCTGGTGCGGACGCCATCCTCCTAGATGAGCCACCAACAGTGGCGGCACCTACCTGGGAGTGGGAGGCAGCCGCAGCGGGAGAGATGTGGCTCTTGCCCTGTGAGAGCTCCTTCTGCGTATTGAGGAAGAACTGCACGCGTTGCGATTCAAGCTCCCGTGCGAAGTCCAGACGCTGGCGCTCAATCTCGGCGGCCTGCTCCAGCTTCGCTGTCTCCACGCGCTCGTAGGCCTCACCAAAGCGTCGTAGCGCCTGCGCTAGCTCTCGCATGCCCTGAGAACGGTCACCGCCGCTGAAGCCATCCACGCGCCCCTCGTCCGTCCTCCTCCTCTTGCCATTCGCCGCCGGAAGCGCAGGCTCCGGCGGGAACCCGTCGGACGACTCAGACGATGCCGACAGCTCCGGAGACGGCGCCCTCCGCTTGACGGGCGCCGAGGCCGGCATCAGCGGCGTGCGGCTGCGCTGGGGGAAGCCCGCGCGCAGCGCCGTGGGCACTGCGTTCCGTCCGTTAGGGTGGGCGGCCGGCTTCTGGTTGTAGGTGGGCGCGAGGAGCACGTCGAGGCGGTCATAGAACTGCCACGACGAGACCGGCTTGGCCCTCTCGATCTTGTACTTCTTCTTGAGCGTGTCGATGCGGTTCTTGCACTGCACGTCGGACTTGGGGGCCTTGGAGTAGTTGTCCCGGGAGGAGACGGCTTCGGCGACCTCCTGCCACTGGGGGTGGCGGAGGCTGCCGCGGCCGAGCGCGACGAAGCGCTCCCCCCAGGCGTCGATGAGCGCGGAGGTGGCGCCCTCGCTCCAGGCATCCTCCCTGCCCCCGCCCCCGCCGCCGCCGCCACCGCCGCTGCCGCCGTGGCTGGGGTAGGACCCGTGCTTCTGGATCGGGAGCGCGAGCGTCAGGGGGCCGCCGGGCGGCGCGGAGGCGACCGTGACGGGGTCGGCGACGGGGAGCGCGGAGGCGACCGGGAGCGGCGAGGAGGAGGCCGGCGAGAGGGAGGGCGACGGGGAGTTGTCGTCGTCGTCCATGGCGGCGGATCGGGGAGGGATTGGGGATCTAGGTTGGAACCGATCTGGGGTTGTAGGTTAGGGGTCGGTGGTGGTGCGGCGGTGCCGGCGGTGTGGGGCTGTCGTGCTTTGAGGGGGTCCGTCCGGTTGGGACTCGGCGCGGCGGGTTGACTTGGGCCAGGCCGGGGGGATGGGCTCTGGCTGGCGCCGGGGTGGGTTAGGTCGGGTCGGAGAAAACGGCCGGCGGTGGGGGGTATTTTGGGCTTCCTGCAACCTGACGCGTCGGCCGGCAGGCAGGAAGACCGGTCGCCACGTTCCGCTTCCACCCATTGTTCCTCGGAGTCGGAGAGTCTCCTGTCCTGTCCAGCCGGAAAACAAGCCAACACCACTTTTGATGCACTAGCAGGGTGGTATAGGAGCTTGAGGCGACGACGAATTCTCGTCGTCGTCTTCTCGATTGCTCGCTCCGGTTTAAAGGTCCTGTCTTACTTTTTATTTTATTTTTCATTTTGTTAGTATTGTCTTTATTGCTCCTTATCATATGTTTAGATGTTGAGATGCATTAAATCGCTGCATACAAAAACTAAAAGAAAATTCATCAATGCATGTAACAGTCCTTTATCATTTAGTGATCATGTATGCATGTGTTGTAATTAATGCATCGGTAAACATAATTTTGTTATAGAAATAACGAGCTCCACACACTTTGTTACAGAAATAGGAAAGTGTTGTTTAAACGGGCCACAATGAAAGTATCATGCATGTCAATTAGATATTTTTATCACAATTTAATGGAAAAAGAGAAGATTGACTATCGTAATATGGTTATGCATGACAATAAATGAGATCACTACGATAGTATGCACTGTAAAAATGATACCATACGCTAGTATTTTGTGCATGATAGTAGTATACGACACTTCCTACTGCTAGCAGTCTTAGAGCATCTACAACTAGAGTGATCAAATATGATTTCCTAGTTGTCCGCGGGCGCATCCGGGCGGCCAGCTCCTCAAATGTTCGTCTTTGCAATCATAACTCTCACTTTTGAAATATCGATTCATGGAAATATGTACACGTCGATCGTTTGGTGATACGAATACACATAACAAAAAATATTACACATAATAAAATTTATCAGTACATAAAAATACATAGTTTAAATGTAAAATTTATTTGGCGTGCATAATTCAAACCTAAAATTCATTGTTTTGCAGTGTGAGTTCATATATGCTCCATAAGATTATTAATTAGTTGTCGTGCACATGTTGATCTCGAAGTTGTCGATCTATGAAAAGTTCACAACATACTTCACATCTTGTTTCGGGAGACGGACATGTACCCCAGGCCTGTCAAAATCATGTGCGTGGACTACCCCTTTGTCCTCATCCTTCACAATCATATTGTGTAAGATTACACAACATGTCATCAACTACCATATGTCTCTGGTTCCTACATCATTGTAGATCCACGAACAATACTCCAACGAGTTTGGAGCACTCCGAATACACTCTACACATCATTTCTCACACCTTCTTGTATTTGTGCAAAGAGACATTGTCTTTTACCTCGAGGATCGGATATAGTCTCACAAGCGTTGTCCGTCAAGGATAAATACCATCAGAAAGGTAGTACCCCATTTTATAGTTGGGCCCGTTGACGGTGTACTTGCATGCCCAAGCATCCCCATCACAAAGTTCTTGAACAACAAAGATCTTTGGAGCACACTGATATCATATTGAGAACTAGTCATGCCAAAAAAAGCATGCTAAATCCAGATGTCCTTTGATTCCACTTCTTGATGGTGGCCTCTTTGGTGTGATCTTGGCACTACTGTCTAAGCAAACCTTTTGACTAGTTCTTTCATTGCCAATGCATAAAATTAACTAAACTAGCATACCTACAAAACTTCTTGTGGCTCCAATTGTCCATAATGTTTCTATGTTCTCGATAGTTGGTTCTCTCAGGTACTCCGATCCAAACACCTTCACCACACTGCGGGTAAATTTCACTGTGGCCTCAATGCATGTGGTGAAGGAAATATGCCTTAGAGGCAATAATAAAGTTATTATTTATTTCCTCATATCACGATAAATGTCTATTATTCATGCTAGAATTGTATTAACCGGAAACATAATACATGTGTGAATACATAGACAAACATCGTGTCGCTAGTATGCCTCTACTTGACTAGCTCGTTGATCAAATATGGTTGAGTTTCTTAGCCATAGACATGAGTTGTCATTTGATTAACGGGATCACATCATTAGTAGAATGATGTGATTGACTTGACCCATTTTGTTAGCTTAGCCCTTGATCGTTTTAGTTTACTGTTATTGCTTTCTTCATGACTTATACATGTTCCTATGACTATGAGATTATGCAACTCCCGATTACCGGAGGAACACTTTGTGTGCTACCAAAGTCACAACGTAACTGGGTGATTATAAAGGTGCTCTACAGGTGTCTCCGATGGTACTTGTTGAGTTGGCATAGATCAAGAATAGGATTTGTCACTCCGATTATCGGAGAGGTATCTCTGGGCCCTCTCGGTAATGCACATCACTATAAGCCTTGCAAGCAATGCAACTAATGAGCTAGTTGTGGGATGATGCATTACAGAACGAGTAAAGAGACTTGCCGGTAACGAGATTGAGCTAGGTATTGAGATACCGACGATCGAATCTCGGGCAAGTAACATACCGATGACAAAGGGAACATCGTATGTTGTTATGCGGTTTGACCGATAAAGATCTTCGTAGAATATGTAGGAACCAATATGAGCATCCAGGTTCCGCCATTGGTTATTGACCGGAGACGTGTCTCGGTCATGTCTACATAGTTCTCGAACCCGTAGGGTCCGCATGCTTAAAGTTTTGTGACGATCGGTATTATGAGTTTATATGTTATGATGTACCGAAGGTAGTTCGGAGTCCTGGATATGATCACGGACATGATGAGGAGTCTCGAAATGGTCGAGACATAAAGATTGATATATTGGAAGCCTACATTTGGACATCGGAAGAGTTCGGGGTGAAATCAGGATTTTACCGAAGTGCCGGAGGGGTTACCGGGACCCCCGGGGGCTAATGGGCCTTGTTGGGCCCTAGTGGAGAGAGAGGGGCCGGCCAGGGCAGGCCACGCGCCCCTCCCATTCTGGTCCGAATTGGACTAGGAAGGGGGGGCGGCGCCCCCTTTCCTTCTTCTTCCCCCCTTCCTTTCCCATTCCCAGTAGGAGTAGGAAAGAGGGGAGTCCTACTCCTACTAGGAGGAGGACTCCTCCTCCTGGAGCGCCCTACAGGGCCGGCCGCCCTCCCCCCTTGCTCCTTTATATACGGGGCATCGTAGAACACACAAGTTGATCATTGATCTCTCCCAGCCGTGTGCGGTGCCCCCCTCCACCATATTCCACCTCAGTCATACTGTAGCGGTGCTTAGGCGAAGCCCTGTGACGGTAGCTTCATCAACATCGTCACCACGCCGTCGTGCTGACGAAACTCTCCCTCGAGCTCTACTGGATCGTGAGTTCGCAGGACATCACCGAGTTGAATGTGTGCTGGACCCAGGAGGTGCCGTACGTTTGGTACTGAGGATCAGTCGATCGTGAAGACGTACGACTACATCAACCACATTGTCATAACGCCTCCGCTTAACGGTCTACGAGGGTACGTGGACGACACTCTCCCCTCTTGTTGCTATGCATCACCATGATCTTGCGTGTGCGTAGGATTTTTTTTTAAATTACTACGTTCCCCAATAGTGGCATCCGAGCCAGGTTTATGCGTAGATGTTATCTGCACGAGTAGAACACAAGTGAGTTGTGGGCGATACAAGTCATACTGCTTACCAGCATGTCATACTTTGTGACGGTGTCAAAACCGGCGGATCTCGGGTAGGGGGTCCCGAACTGTGCGTCTAAGGCGGATGGTAGCAGGAGGCAGGGGACACGATGTTTTACCCAGGTTCGGCCCCTCTTGATGGAGGTAAAACCCTATGTCCTGCTTGATTATTCTTGATAATATGATTAGTACAAGAGTTGATCTACCACGAGATCGAAGATGCTAAACCCTAGAAGCTAGCCTATGGTATGATTGTATGTTGTCCTACGGACTAAAACCCTCCGATTTATATAGACACCGGAGGGGGATAGGGTTACATAAGGTCGGTTACAAAGGAGGAGATATACATATCCGTATTGCCTAGCTTGCCTTCCACGCCAAGTAGAGTCCCACCCGGACATGGGACGAAGTCTTCAATCTCGTATCTTCATAGTCCAACAGTCCGGCCAAAGGATATAGTCCGGCTACCGGACACCCCCCCTAATCCAGGACTCCCTCACTTTGGTTCGGCGGTATTGTTGGATGAAGCGGCCCGGACCGACATTACGTGTACGCTTACGCAAGACTAGTTCTATTGACGTGCTTTGCACACATGTGTGTCAGTTTCTCCAACTTTAGTTGAACCGAGTGTGGTTACGCCCGGTCCTTGTGAAGGTTAAAACAAAACTAACTTGACTAACTATCGTTGTGGTTTTGATGCATAGGTAAGAACGGTTCTTGCTCAGCCCGTAGCAGCCACGTAAAACTTGCAACAACAAAGTAGAGGACGTCTAACTTGTTTTTGCAGGGCATGTTATGATGTGATATGGTCAAGACATGATGCTATATTTATTGTATGAGATGATCATGTTTTGTAATGGAGTTATCAGCAACTGGCAGGAGCCATATGGTTGTCGCTTTATTGTATGCAATGCAATCGCCCTGTAATTGCTTTACTTTATCACTAAGCGGTAGCGATAGTCGTAGAAGCAATAGATGGCGAGACAACAACGATGCTATGATGGAGATCAAGGTGTCGCACCGGTGACGATGGTGATCATGACGGTGCTTTGGAGATGGAGATCAAAGGCACAAGATGATGATGGCCATATCATATCACTTATATTGATTGCATGTGATGTTTATCCTTGATGCATCTTATTTTGCTTTGTTTGATGGTAGCACTATAAGATGATCTCTCAC